TTTCAGATTTTCAGACCCCATCAATTTCAATTTCCCTTTGTTTTGTTAATCTTCAAAATCTAATCTATTTCTTGATAGAAACGAACATAGTAACAAACAGACCGAGTTACTTTGGTATATTACTATACTCGTATGATTGTGTATCTTTCTTTCAGTATTCGAAAGTGTTTCCACCTACACTATTATTGCTCATGAGCGTGCACTATTGTGTAAGTGGTAGAGACCAATTGGGTAAAATTATTTGCTGTAAACAACTTTTAAAGGAGTATTTTTAGAATAATATTTCCACTTGAGTCATATTATGTTTACAATGCATTATCATTCATTTCTGACGTTGATGAATCTGATGGTAATACTCGTATGTTTAATATGCTATCAATGTTATTAAAACGATAAGAATAAGATTATTATAATATGTGATATTTCGTATAAGCTGCGAAGTAACTCCAGTAATTTGGTTGAGATTGAGGGAAGTGTCTTTAAGTTAAATTTTAATGCAGATAGATGATCCTTATCTCAACCCTCAAAGAAAACCAACATGAAATGATAAAAAAGTATGCAGAACAAAGCTATGGTTTACAGTCTAAACTAAAGATTTAAAAACGCACTTTTACACGTCTCAGTATTAACCCTACTATATCTTTGGGACAATAAATGGGCCAGTGCTGAGAAGAAGCAGCGCAAGAAACTCAGTCACTACTGTCAGCCTCTTTTTCAAGGGTTTAGTCTTTAAAATATACATAGTCATAATATTGTTGCAAGCCAGGCAGTTAAACATTCCAAACATTTTTATCTTTTAAATAATCATCAATTTTATTGTAGTCATTTTTTATTAAGGTGCTTTTAATATGTGTTTTAAATGAATAACATTTGAAATTAATACCTTTACATATCTATCGAATCAAAATATACATACTTATTACATGTCTACATTTTAGCGGTCTAGTTATCATCGATGGTATGCAAACAAGCGAGCCGCACAAAAGTTTGACGTTTTGAATACTTATTTCTATGACTTCATGCCATTCTTCTGGCTCCGGTCCAACTTAAGGGTCATTTATAATCTGATGATACGTGTTACGTGATTCAGAGCCGCATCCTGGACTAACGCCGTCTTATTATGCATAGTACAGGCAAATCCAGTGGGCTTATTACGTCATTGTATATTCAGAAATAAGCTTTAGACTACAGACTTTTAGTAGGCCGATAGTTGGGCCCGATTCTAATTTGTATGAAGAATCGGCCGATACCAATGTGCGCACTTTCGTATATGTCCATACTGATTAACAGCCCGACCCAACTATGGGACAATAAGCCTGTAGTCTGTCGCTAGGTTTAGCAGCTACCAAATAGATGATCTTGGCAAGTTTTCATAATATTTGACAGCAGCCGTCTCTCTGAAAAACTATATGATTTCTCGGAATTAAACCTTCTTTTATAAAACTGTATTTAGACCATAGTTACTCGTATGTTAGCACTGCATCCAACCACACGTTATACGGTATTTGACATTTTTATTCAACCATTTTCCATGTGCGGTCATTACAGGTTGCAAACGGACGCGTCATCCGATTCAAAATATCTTATTTGAAAAATCCCTTCACGTTAGGAGCGTTAACTTAAAATTCCTGTAAGTTTGATAAACTTATTTACATAATTATTTCACTGAACTACAGAAGTAGTTACTGCATTCAATTTACTTTACAGCATTACAGATGAACACTTGAACATGACAACAGAATAGTGGTTTTTTACGGTTACCGTGAATGAGCGGAGTTTAATGATCCGTGAGAAATCATTTAAGTAAATATTGTTATCTGTTTAGATCATTTATCACATCAGTTAATTGAAGAGACTAACGATTGTTAAGTGGTGGCTTAACTTCTTTTGCTGTGATTTCAGATACAATAGAACATGTTGTGCTAGACACATAATAACCGAGGACGCGGCATATCAATGATTATTTTACAGTTTATCTTGACTAGAAAACTTCTTAATTTGATACTTATGGCTGCAAAGGTACTTTGACACTGTCTACATTTTGGTGAAACTTTTCTACTTGTCTTCAGGTTAAGCTTCGTATACTCCTATAAAATTAAAGAAATATATTTCCAGCCAGATGGGTCGACGACATTTTCCACAGTAAAAAACAATGAATGTAAACGTCTTAAAAGGGAAGTAAGTACTACTTACATAACAAAATGTTTATACGATAGTACAGAAAATTGTTTTAAGTTGAAGCAGTTGGTTACATTAGTATTTTGTATTGGATATGCGTGTGCGTGTTGAAAGTCGACGCAAAATGGAGAAAAAGAATCGACGAGAATATTCAAAGATATTTAGAAGTTATACCTGTGATAATTTTTGCGACTAATTGCGAAAAAATTACTTCATCATTTGTTACCATCCAGTCATTCACCATAGTAATAAGGAATATTGTCTATCTTTCACTAATTTTTAACATCTTAGCATAGCTAAATGCACCACTTATGGTCTCGCTTGTTTTAATCGATAAATCTGTTGGTCAAGTAGGCACAGCTTAAATACCTATGCCTCGCACGTCTCTGTCGACTAGATTCTGAGCAAGTCTTTTTGCTGGATGGCAAGTAAACTGTATGAATTAACTTTGATTAAACTTTAGGCGAAGAAGCAACATTCGCAGGCCAAGATATTTTTAACGCGGCCGTACCCCGAACCGGTCCCAACCACTCCGCCATGTCACTGATACCATACGCTTTTCTTTGTTTTTGTTTTATTATAAAGATACAGTCTTTGGTTATTATGGCTAATGTGATAATGATTTCGTTTTCTTGTCTTTTTTGATAATTAGTTAATAGGTTTTTATCTACTTTTAATAGTGCAATGGTTCGATTCGATAGTAATAAGATTGAATAAAACCAAGCTACGAGTATGACTTTCAACTTATACTAAGAACTATCAAAGTATTAAAGAGCCAAAATCCCTTATTTTTTGAATCGATATCTTGCTTCTACCGGTCAACAGTGAATTTAAAACTTATATTGAGATTCTATTCACTATGATTTTACCAAAGGTTCTGCTAATACAAATAGCAGTCGAGTAACAAACAAGTTTTTCTGCCTGGCATAAAGTCACAGGCGTTTAACTCTGTGCTTGGAATCAATACCCGCTCTTACTCTCTGGTGAGATCATCGCGGCCATTGTAGCGACCTTTTTTATTTTCAGCAGCGAGGGAAGAATTCTAGCGCTTTGGAAAATTGAAAATTCATCGAATTCCAATTTGCACAATCGGATTTGAATTTATGGAGTAGGTGCATTAAAAATACGTAATAGCTAGTACAAATACATCACTATATTCAGTATTGCCTCCATGGTTCTTTTCTAAAAAAATCATCTGAAGTTCTAGGAAAGTAGGCCATTTTTTCAGATGCATTTTGCATCCAATATTTAATGTGCTGTTGACTGAAAGAATGAAAAGGGAAAAGGAAGGGAAAACGGTCATCAAATAGCTTAACTTTTGATGTTCATTGAGCGCCTAGTGTTTTCGCATAATCATAATTATAATCATAATATCATAGTAAGGCAAGAAATAAGAATTTCATTAATTTTGTTTATTTTCTTGTAGATAGACTGCTGCTTTTATTTTACATGGTTTTAGAAAATGAGCTCTTATTTTTCGATAACTTTTGGCGTTTTTCCGCACAGCTCTACATTTCACTTCGACAAGTGTGGAACTTTAACAGTAAAGGCTGATTTACACGTATTAAGTAGGTACATAGTTATGTAGGTAACTAAATTTTAATTTAATTCCAAACGTCAAGTGACAAGCCCCGCCCACCAACTTGACAGAAAACTTAAGTTAAAATTTAGTTACCTACTTATCTACTTAATACGTGTAAATCAGCCTTATGGGGTAATTTAATAATAATGGATATTAAAGTAATCAACTCTTGTTTGTCTTTTATTAATAAATAATCTTACTCACTAGCTTAACTATACACAATGTCAGTCAAGTTTTTATTTGAACATCATTTTACTCTTCGGTATGGTTTTGTGAAAAATATTCTTGAGTCCTTAATTCTGGATAGATGGTTGGTTAATGTATTATGAAGACTTTAAAAAGGTTTTTAATGATAAAAAACTGAGAACAGTACTTTGACGATACTTAACGCAAATATAAATAAATACTTTTTTAAATAAATACTCCACTTTAAATCACTGAATTACAATAATCAAAAGACTAGATAGTAGACATAACCATGCAAATTATTCTAGCATTGTTATTTTCTTTCCCGATACTTTTTGCCACTTTACCACATACCTATTCATAAATGATCATTTGATTAGCCATTCCTAGTTACAACTCACAGGTGTACTGAAAATAAAGTTTTCTTCAAATTATTCACGTGAAAATAGCAGTTTCAGAGCTAATTAAGTTTTTAGTGATATTATGTGAAAAACTTTGCATCTTAATGAAAATGATTATTCTTTTCTGGTTAAGATTTTGGTATTGTTGCGATTTTAATACAAGCTTAATCGCCCATGTGCACTTATGATTACACTCTGTGTACATACAGGGCGGAACAAGTTACGTATTATTTTAAACGTAATACACATTTTGTGGCAAAACAAAATATTGATGCAACCGTTTATTTTTGTGGGATATAACAACCACAACACACACTTTCGCTTTCCCCTTATTGCGAAAAGTCGCAGATTAAGTATTTGGGTTCAAGCGACATCGAAAATTCGCAACTGACATCAATCTTGTGACGTATTTTGCAAGATGTGTGAATATTTAATATTGATATTACGTTACACAAACGCCTGCAGACGAAATAGTAACGTGTGTTTTGTAACCTCGCATTTGTATGTGTAATTGAAAAACTATTACAACATAACAAACCTGTACAATTCTAGTTTTGTCACTTTAAACATGAGTGCTCAGATTTGGTCACTTTTTAAAGGTTTATATTTGTTAAATTCCATTTCAAATCCTAATTCTACTTCTCTAGCTCGTAATTTTCTTATCAGTTTGAATTTTTCTATAGTTTTTATTATTTGAGCAGAGCACATGTACAATTTTTAACGGCACTTAATGCAGATTTAGTTTAGAGCGGATTTAGTAATTGTATTAAATCCGGAAAATTGTGCTTTGGCAGATATTATTTTATGTCAAACTTATTCTTTCGATAACTGCTACTGACGATGGAGAAACCTGCATGTTTGCCTAACACATTCGTTGCATCAAACGATTAACATAATTTATATCACGTGACTTTTGTTTTGCACCGAACTAACATTGATTTTGGTTAAAAATTGCTTAATCTGACACAACCACAGACACAAAATCATCTCCACTCCTAAAGGACGGACCCTTCCGTGACTTGAAGATGGCCGCTCCGGCACCCTTGCGGCCTGAGAAGTTAGGGAACCCTGATGGGAAGGTGGGGAAGTCTGGCACCCCTCGATGTCTGACGTCGAACGCTCCATCGCCGAATGTCAGCTGGAACAGAAACAATGATTGGTGAGTTTCGGGCATATGACCAAGTCTCTACGACACAGACTATCTTTGGGTACGGTGGATTTTTTTAAAGAACGTAGTTGGTCGGATGTTGAAAGGAAAAAATAGTAGATTAATTTTATGATGATTTTATGAAATCAAATTAGATAAGGAAACGTATACTAAATGTACTTTGAGATTATTCTATTATGTTAAAGGCAAAAATCTTAGTAGCTGCGAAACTAAATAAAAACTATTGATAGCGGTACTTATGCAAATGTAGTCCACGATTTGAACTTAGTTAACATTTTATAGGTTTGTGAAATATTTTACATTGGAAGTGTAAAAAAATATCATCAAGCTTCATGAGATAGCAAAATATTTATAAAAAAATAGCATCCTTTTTTAGTTAAATTATTTACTGACTAATTAATGTACGTATACAGGGTGTTAGGTAAATGGGTATATGAGCCGACACTAGCCCATGTTAACATGGGCATATAAATGGTATAGTGAAGTCAGGAATTTGATATCATCATTTAATTTTTTTTTAATTTCATCTGATTTCACCATACCATTTATATGCCCATGTTAACATGGGCTAGTGTCGGGTCATATGCCCATTTACCTAACACCCTGTATAGGATGTGTAAGGCACAGGTTGTCAAAAAAAATAATGTCCTTGGTTCAAAGTTAAAAATCAATATCATTTAGGAAAATTTTAAGATAAATTCTTTGTAAATGTTTTACTCCTGTTGTACACAAAAAAGTATATAAATTATTCTTCCGTCTTTGGTTTAAGACACCATCGAATTCTGATGTAGTTAATTAACTCTTTAACCTTTTACCAACCTGTCCCGTACACCCTGTATGGATGTATCAGGTTACCTTGAACCTGATTGCAAACGGAACGAGTTTAAAATAATGCCGTTGTAACTGTAATGTTATTCGTGATGTAAAATTGTTGCAGCAACGTGCATATTATTTTAAACAAAATGGAAGGGCTGTGGCTGTAATGCATGGGGTTTTGGAACATTCTTTATGGACCGCAGACCGCTGCCAATCGATCAACCAGTCCTATGGCTGAAATGATGATGATGATGATGATTATGGACTGTGACTAGCGATAAATATTGTTGTCTACGTGCTACTATTATGTATTCTGTGGTTATGCCTTACCATAATCACAGCGGTCCATTGTAAAGTATATACGCGCATATAAACTTGTAAATCAATAAAGTTGACCTTAACTTGGTCCCAGAATAGATTGCAAAGTGAACAAGTGACATCCCTAGAGAATGTCTCCGTCTCCGGCGCTCCTGCACACGACGCCGCCACCGCGCCGTCGCCGCGCCGTCGCCGCGGCCCTACACTGTTCATACGCGCCGAGTAAAACCGTCACCGCGCCATCAAAGCATAATTTGTGGCGGCGGCGCGGCAGCGGTGTTCACGCGGCGCGTATAAACAGTGCAAAGGCGCGGCGGCGGCGTCGTGTGCAGGAGCGCTAATTACAGTCGACTTTTTCATAAATCTTTTGGCGCTTTCTATATTTTAGGGATGACGATGAGCAACTTTTTGCATCCAAGGTTTTTTGAAGACTTGTGCAAAGATATTTGGTACTACTATGAAATCGTAATTAGGTACTATCAAATCGTAGTAGTGCGAGTAGTTACCGATTTATTAGTAGTATTTATAATGGCGCAGGCCTGTCCTTGAGCTATTGATCTTGGAAGTGGTTTACACGCTTTCGTAAAAGCTGCTTTGAAATTGGGCTACTTATGTAATACTGCTAATGTAGAAAGAGAGTACAGCTCTTAATTGGCAAAGAATTCGTTTTGTAATGTTGTTATCAATGAGAGCAAACACTGAAATGCTGCGGCTGAATCCTCTTTGGTTGCCAAAGTGTAAAAAAACTTGTTTGTATCAGATATTATTTGTAGTTGACTTCTCGCCAAAGAACAAGTGAATAAAACCGAGCACCTGCTAAGCTGACTGTAGCTGATTGACTTTGGTTAAAGACATAGCATACTCACATCAGCCTGAGGGAATCCATTGAGCGAGTTGAACCCAAAAGCGGATGAAGCGCTTTGGCTCCCGCTGTTTCCACCAAAGCCGCCGCCTCCAAAGGCAGCAGCCGACGAAGCTGCTCCTGATACAGACGACCCGCCAAACGAAGCCGCTTGGCTGCTGGCCTGGCTGCCGCTGAAGCCGCTGGAAAATTGCAATGCACGAAATTATTTTCACGATACGAAGATTTTTAGTCTGTGTGTTTGTTATAAGACCAATTATTTTTCGATTTAGGGTGGATTCGACCCAACAAGAGTAAATATTAATCTCAGAATAAATCGTCAGTTTTGACATATTTCCCATACTGAAACTGTCATGTGTCAGTTAAAACCAAGAGTATTCTCGGATTAAATTTGGTCAAATCGAAGCTTTATACAGGGTGTTAGGTAAATGGGTATATGAGCCGATACTAGCCCATGTTAACATGGGCATATAAATGGTATGGTGAAGTCAGAAATTTGATATCATCATTTTAATTTTTTTAATTTTCATACGGAATAAATTTTATAAAATCCGATTTGTATGAAAAATAAAATAATTAAAATGAAGATATCAGTTTTCTGACTTCACCATACCATTTATATGACCATGTTAACATGGGCTAGTGTCGGCTCATATACCCATTTACCTAACACCCTGTATAAAAAGTAGCCGAAACTAAAAATGGAACTAACGAAACAACGGGAGTGGAGAAATGGGCGCTTTGCAAATAATATAAATGCAATTTGGCTTTGATGGCATTTGTATTGAATATGTTGTTATGAAGCATATCATTGCTATCTTCACACTAGGTACTTAGTTATCACCCAAGGGCTGACCTTTAGGTGATAACTCAGTAGCTATTATTATAAATAACGGTTCGGTGACCCATAGCTTAATGCATAAGTAGCAGTCATAAAATCACAAAACGAAGGTAAGTTCGGTCATTATTTGACTTAAAAAGGAGATTGCCCTTCTTTTAAATTAATTGGACCAGTCGTCAGCACATTAGACTACAATATTGTTGTGAAATAGCATCTATTACCATTAGATAAGACGCCACAAAATTAGGTTGATATGCTGTCCATACTTCACAAAATAAGAATGTCAAGTGGTTTAGACGAAAACTTTGTTATTTTTAATTATGCATGCATATTTCGTAACTTTGTCACTTTGCCATTGATAATGAGTTGTCGGTGTTCCTTTATTCATCACGGGTCAATGTTTTATGCTAAACTATCGTTTAGGTCACAGTTAGTCATTGATATTAATCATCATTCAGAGCACTCTTATCTGTCGAAACAGTGTATGATTAAATGAGATTAGAGTGAATGTTATAATATGATGTAAGTTATGTTACTTACAGTATGACCAACATACTTGTATATGTTTAGAAGGCTCTGACGTATGAATATAAAGCTGTTTTTAACAGCAGTGTCTATGTAATGTGTAATATGTATTGTTAAAAAAATTGAATTTATTTAACATAAATAGCAGATATTTTTCGGTCTTAGTGTTCAAACTAAAAAAAGACATAATTAAACATTGATGATTATAAAAATTGATCACAGCGTCGTGCTGATTGATAGCACCTGTATTTCACTTTTCTCTGTTTGTATGTACAATTTTTTAAATCTTCTAAAGACTAACCCAAATCCATTGAAGGAGGCTGCTTGACTAGCAGCCTGCGAAGCACTGAACCCTTCGTTGAAGCCGAAGGAGAACGACTGCGAGGCTGACTGGCTGGCTCCTCCGAAGCTGCCGCTGCTGCTCACGCTCGCCGTCAACCCTCCGTTCCCAGAGGGCCTCACGTTGAACCCACCCCCATTGAACCTCGGCTTGGCTTGCGGCCGCGAGCGACTCTGAACCTTCTCACTGGGGAGCAAAGTACTCGGATCGCGCTCTAAATGCTCTAACACGGGTAGAACTCGTTTCAGCCAAATGACGTCCGCTGCTGGACAAAGGCCTCCCCCGAGGTTTTCCACAATGAACATGAAATGACCTAGGATATAAATGATTTATATCCTAGGTCTATGTAAATTTGTCAGAGAGAATAAAATTATTTACTCTCAAGCAAAAGAACAATATTCAGCACCCCGTAACTTAAGATACAAAGATAGATTAGCATTACCCGACACTAAGCTTCACCTGGTAAGATCAGGAGTCTACCACATGTCCATAGTAGTCTATAATAAACTGCCTACCTATTTAAAAAATATTGAAAAAGACTCATTATTCTTGGCCAAGCTAAAAGAGTTCCTTATATAAAAATGTCTTTATAGTATTCAGGAGTTCTATAATTTGAGTAGGATGCGATGATGAAAATTATGTAGGTATGAATAGGTATGGAGAAACATTATTGTATTTTAATTGTACTGTAAAATTATGTAAACTAATTAATTTTATAATTTATCAATATTAATAATTATTACTAACTATTGTAGAATATTTAGTAATGTACCTACGATACAAGATTTGCAACACCCTTACAGGGTCATAAGTTGAGACTAAGTTTAAGATCACCACCTATGTACACTTATGAAGCAATAAATAAATGATTATGATTATGATTATTAAGGAGCCAAAATCCCTTATTTTTACTATCGATATCTTGCTTCTACCGGTCAACAGTGAATTTAAAACTTATATTAAGATTCTATTCACTATGATTTTACCAAAGGTTCTGCTAATACAAATAGCAGTTGAGTAACAAATAAGTTTTTCTGCCTGGCATAAAGTCACAGGCGTTTAACGCTGTGCTTTGTGGAATCAATACCGGCTCTACACTCTCTGCTGAGATCATCGCGGCCATTGTAGCAACCATTTTATTTTCAACAGCGAGGGAAGAATTCTAGAGAGCTTTAGAAAATTGAATATCATTCGACTGGCATAATCGGATTTGAATTTATGGAGTAGGTTAAAATAAATACATACAGCCGAACATAGACCTCCTCCTTTTTTGAAGTCGGTTAAAAAATACGTAATACTCGTAGCTAGTACAAACACATCTCTATATTCCGTATTGAATAGCTTCCATGGTTCTATCCGAAGTTTTAAAAAAGTAGGTCATTTTTTTAGATGCCTTTTGCATAAAATATTTAATGTGCTGTTGACTGAAAGAAAGAAAAGGGAAAAGGAAGGTAAAACGGTCATCGAAAAGCTTAACTTTTGATGTTTATTGAGCGCCTAGTGTTTTCGCATAATCATAATTATAATCATAATATCATAGGTAAGGCAAGAAATAAGAATTTCATTAATTTTGTTTATTTTATTGTAGATAGACTGCTGCTTTTATTTCACATGGTTTTAGAAAATGAGCTCAGCTCAGATTTTTCGATAACTTTTGGCGTTTTTCCGCACAGCTCTACATTTCACTTCGACGAGTGTGGAACTTTAACAGTAAAGGCTGATTTACACGTATTGAGTACATAGTTATGTAGGTAACTAAATTTTAACTTAATGCCAAACGTCAAGTGACAGGCCCCGCCCACCAACTTGACAGAAAAATTAAGTTAAAATTTAGTTATCTACTTAATACGTGTAAATCAGCCTTATGGGGTAATTTAATAATAATGGATATTAAAGTAATCAACTCTTGTTTATCTTTTATTAATAAATAATCTTACTCACTAGCTTAACTATACACAATGTCAGTCAAGTTTTTATTTGAACATCATTTTACTCTTCGATATGGTTTTGTGAAAAATATTCTTGAGTCCTTAATTCTGGATAGATGATTGGTTAATGTATTATGAAGACTTTTAAAAGGTTTTTAATGATAAAAAACTGAGAACAATACTTTGACGATACTTAACACAAATATAAATAAATATTTTTTTCAATAAATACTCCACTTTAAATCACTGAATTACAATAATCAAAAGACTAGATAGTAGACATAACTAACCATGCAAATTATTCTAGCATTGTTATTTTCATTCCTGAAACTCGTACAAAAACTCTACTTTTTGTGACATTTTCACCTATAATTTTATGCATAAGTGTTCATTTATTAGCCGTTTCTAGTTACAACTCACAGGTGTACTGAAAATAAAGTTTCCTTCAAACTATGTACACATGAAAATAGCAGTTTCGGAGATAATTAAGCGTTTAGTGATATTATGTGAAAAACGGTGCGTCCTAATGAAAATGTTTAATTAATCTTTACAGGTTAAGATTTTGGTATTGTTGCGATTTTGATACAAACTTAATCGCCCATGTGCACTAATGATTACACTCTGTGTACATACAGGGCGGAACAAGTTACGTATTATTTTAAACGTAATACACATTTTGTGGCAAAACAAATATTGATGCAACCGTTTATTTTTGTGGGATATAACAACCACAGCACACACTTTCGCTTTCCTCTTACATGTGTGTTGCGAAAAGTCGCAGATTAAGTATTTGGGTTCAAGCGACATCGAAAATTCGCAATTGACATCAATCTTGTGACGAATTTTGCAAGATGTGTGAATATTTATATTGATATTACGTTACACAAACGCCTGCAGACGAAATAGTAACGTGTGTTTTGTAACCTCGCATTTGTATGTGTAATTGAAAAACTATTACAACATAACAAACCTGTACAATTCTAGTTTTGTCACTTTAAACATGAGTGCTCAGATTTGGTCACTTGTTAAAGGTTTATATTTGTTAAATTCCATTTCAAATCCTAATTCTACTTCTCTAGCTGGTAATTTTCTTATCAGTTTGAATTTTTCTATAGTTTTTATTATTTGAGCAGAGCACATGTACAATTTTTAACGGCACTTAATGCAGATTTAATTTAGAGCGGATTTAGCAATTGTATTAAATCCGGAAAATTGTGCTTTGGCAGATATTATTCTACGTCAAACTTATTCTTTCGATAACAGCTACTGACGATGGAGAAACCTGCATGTCTGCCTAACACATTCGTTGCATTATACGATTAACATAATTTATATCACGTGACTTTTGTTTTGCACCGAACTAACATTGATTTTGGTTAAAAATTGCTTAGTCTGACACAACCACAGACACAAAATCGTCCCCACTCCTAAAGGACGGACCCTTCCGTGATTTGAAGATGGCCGCTCCGGCACCTTTGCGGCCTGAGAAGTTAGGGAACCCTGATGGGAAGGTGGGGAAATCTGGCACCCCACGATGTCTGACGTCGAACGCTCCATCGCCGAATGTCAGCTGGAACAGAAACAATAATTGGTGAGTTTCGGGCATATGACCAAGTCTCTACGACACAGACCGAAATATCTTTGGGGATTTTTTTAAAAGAACGTAGTTGGTCGGATGTTCAAAGGAAAATTGTAAATTAATTTTATGATGATTTTATTAAATCGAACTAGTTAAGGAAACGAATACGAAATCTACTTTGAGATCATGCTATATGTTAAAGGCAAAAGTCATTATCTTAGTAGCTGCGAAAATAAATAAAAACTATTGATAGCGGTACTTATGCAAATGAAGTCCACGATTTGAACTCATTTGACATTTATAGGTTCGTTAAATATTTTACATTAGCAGTAGGGATTCTTAATGAGAATCGTAACTAGGTGGAAGTGTAAAAAAATATCATCAGGTTTCATGAGATTGCAAAATATTTATAAAAAATTGGATGCTTTTTAAGTTACATTATTTACCTGCTCATGTATAGGAGTAAGGCACAGGTTGTCAAAAAAAATAAGCTCTTAGCTAAAAATCAATATCATTCAGGAAAATTTTAACATAAGTTCTTTCTTAAAGTTTTACTCGTGTTGTATCCAAAAAAAGTAGGTACATTATTAATCTTCTGCTTTTGCAGACACCATAATATCGAATTATGATGTAGTTAACTGTTTAACCTTTTACCAACCCGTCCCGTACACCCTGTATGGATGTATCAGGTTTATACCTTGAACCTCATTGCAAACGGAACGAGTTTAAAATAATGCCGTTGTAACTGTAATGTTAATCGTGATGTAAAATTGTTGCAGCAACGTGCAATTTATTTTAAACAAAATGGAAAGGCTGTGGCTGTAATGCATGGGGTTTTGGAACATTCTTTATGGCTTGTGACTAGCGATGTATATTGTTGTCTGCGTGCTACTATTATGTATTCTGTGGTTTTGCCTTACATAATCACAGCGGTCCATTGTAAGGTATTCGCACATACGTTTACGGTTTAGCCAAATAACGTCCACTGCTGGACAAAGGTCTCCCCCAAGGTTTTCCATAATGAACGGTCCTGCGCTGCCCGCATCCAGGCTCTTCCCGCGACCTTTACCAGATCGTCGGTCCACCTAGTAGGAGGCCTGCCCACGCTACGTCTTCCAGCTCGTGATTGCCACTCGAGAACTTTCCTGCCCCAACGGCCATCGTCTCTACGAGCTATGTGCCCCGCCCACTGCCACTTGATTTTAGCAATTCTGCGAGCTATGTCGGTTACTTTGGTTCTCCTGCGGATCTCCTCATTTTTGATTCGATCACGCAGGGAAACTCCGAGCATAGCCCACTCCATCACCCTTTGGGTGACCTTGAGCCTTCTTATGAGGCCCATAGTAAGCGACCACTACTCAGATCCGTATACCATCACTGGCAACACACATCGGTCAAAGACTTTTGACTTGAGACACTGCGGTATTTCGGACGAGAGTATATGGCGAAGCTTCCCGAACGCTGCCCATCCGAGTTGGATTCGACGATTGACCTCTTTCTCGAAGTTGGACCTACCTAACTGGACTGTTTGTCCCAGGTATACATAATTGTCAACAAGTTCGAGTGTAGAGTCTCCATTCGCACATATAAACTTGTAAATCAATAAAGTTGACCTTAACTTGGTCCCAGAATAGATTGCAAAGTCAACAAGTGACATCCCTAGAGAGTTGTTTTCGTTTCAGTCGAGCTTTGCATAAATCTTTTGGCGCTTTCTAAGATTAGGCGCAGACCACCGACTTTTAGTTGGCCGATAGTTGGGCCCGATTTTAATTTTATGAAGAATCCGCTGATATCAAATCGGTGTAATGTGCGCACTTTCATACATCTCCATATTGATCAAAAGCCCGACCCAATTATCGGCTAACTAAAAATCGATGGTCTGCGCATAGGCTAATTTAACGATGAGCAAAAATTTTTCATCAAAGGGTTTTTAAAGACTTGTGCAAAGACATTTGGTAATAATATGAAATCGTAATTAGGTACTATCAAATCGAAGTTTATTAGCGATTTACTAGTAGTTTTTATATTGCCGCAGGCCTGTCCTTGAGCTATTGATCTTGGAAGTGGTTGACACGCTTTCGTAAAAGCTGCTTTTAAATTAGGCTACTTATGTAATACCTACTGCTAAAGTAGAAAGAGAGTACAGCTCTTAATTGGCAAAGAATTCGTTTTGTAATGTTGTTATCAATGAGAGCAAACACTGAAATGCTGCGGCTGAATCCTCTTTGGTTGCCAAAGTGTTAAATAAAATTCTGTTATCAGATATTATTTGTGGTTGACTTCTCGCCAAAGACCAAGTCTGTAGCTGATTGACATTGGTTAAAGAAATAGCATACTTACATCAGCCTGTGGGAATCCATTCAGCGAGTTGAACCCAAAAGCGGATGAAGCGCTTTGACTCCCGCTGTTTCCACCAAAGCCGCCGCCTCCAAAGGCAGCAGCCGACGACGCCGTGCCTGATACAGATGACCCGCCAAACGAAGCCGCTTGGCTGCTGGCCTGGCTGCCGCTGAAGCCGCTGGAAAATTGCAATGCATGAAATTATTTTCACGATAGAAATATTTTTGGTTTGTGTCTTTTTTATAAGACCAATTATTTTTCGATTTAAAAATATTA